AGAAATTACAGCATTTATGAGAGTCGAGCACTTTAGAAGCATTCTTACCGTCTGTAATATTCGGCGAAGTCACCAACGAAGTCCACCAAATCAAGAACAACTCAGCCCGCCCTGCAGAGGATCATCAAAACTGTACAACCGATGTTAAGCAGCAAAACATCGGACGCTGACAAAATTTCGCCAGAATTCCACGAATATTCCAATCCTTTGTTCCTGGAGAAAATCCCCCCACTGTTCCGTGAGACGTGGAGATGATAACGAATCCCCTAAGACTTCAGGGACCAATTAAACAAATGCAAGGGAAAGCGACAACTCTACGATAACCACAGAGGTATCTCCCTCCCCTTCCCACCACAGCAGTTAAGACCGAGTTAGACTCAATCGCTTGAGCGCTTATGGAGAACAGGGACGCCTTTCAAAACCACAATGGTGACTCCGAAAACCACGTAGGCCCACAGACAGCATCTTTTCCGTCCGAAGCTTGCATGAAAATAGTCGAAAAATGCGGACTAAACTCCACACTACCTCAGTGGGCCTGTCAAAGGCCTACTGAACCTTGGATTTCAGGGACGATTCACACAGATGGCGAGATAAACACGCGGTGGGATGGTGGCGGACAACTGGTGACGGGGGGAGGCGAGGCAGTTATTTCCACCTTAGTTGTCTTCGTCGAATGCTGAAGGCGATGGGCCAGAGAAGGTGTAGCAGCAAATCTTCGTGGCCGCCGGCGAAGTCGCTTACTAATGCCGCCGTCCGGCCTTCCTTATGTTTGAGCCGCATGGAACTATTAGCTCGGGATTTCCCGAGCTGCTGGTCTTCACACCTCCACAAAGGATCTCGGACATAGGCAGCGGTAGGCTGAAGGGCCCCCCTTAACTGTCATTAGAGTGTTGATCGAGTCGTGTGGGGCTTTATCCTGGTATCCATTTGCAGGCCGTTGGAGACATTACACTGCCAACAACAATTACTTCTCAGAATCTCAAACCATTACTCAAACCGCGCATTCACAATAGCTTTTCCTTCGCATACAGTTACTTGACCTCGTCGCCAGTGCTTTTCCCGGTCTCCCATGTAAAAACATCTATCGCTACCTGTCCCGTGTTACAGGCGGCTGGGGTTTGTTTGCCTCAGGTGCGGCTACATAACCATACTTGACCAAGATAAGCGTGAAGTTGTAATCGTTAAATTTTTCTGAGCTAACGAGGAAAAAGTAATAATTTCGACTTTCCTCTAAGTACCACAGAGGGTTATTTTAATCTGACAGTCCCAATGATCAAGTGTGATCAAGATCCGCCATCGGTTAGTTAATATGAACACGGAGAAATTAATGGGTTTAGGAAAAAGTCACCCTTTTTTATATTATGAACAATGAACTTCGTATTTTTTTCATCAAATTGTAATCACTACCATGGTACTCTGATTTTACTAGTTACCGCACCGGTATTTAACTCCAAAGCACTTGGGATCGCGAAGACTATCTACTTATTGAAATCGAAAACGCACAGGGGGACGTCATCATATTGCGAGCCTACCTAAATACGTCCAGCCTAACTTCATGACGTCTTTACCAGGCTACACAGGCGCGTATAATACTCCAAAAGTCTTTGATGATTCGTTTTGCGACCAGAAGTAGCTAAAAACCCTGACCCTACCGACTTCAATCAGACTTCATACGCCCTCCTTATCTTAATAAAAACCAAGAGAACACGGGATGAAATTAGGCGCGCATATAGCGTTTTATTAAATAGGCATCTGGTATAATCTGGGTGTTCACAGTAACAAAAGGGAATGAAGAAAAACGAGTTCTGGAGAACAGGGGATGAGGATTTGATGAATTGGTTGACGTCTTCACTTTCGGTTCTGCTTCTGAAGAAAAACGAGTTTGGGAGAACTGGGAATTGGGATTTGGATGAATTTGTTGATGTCTTCATTTTCGGTTCTGCTTCCTTGGCCTCTGGAAGAGGTGATGGAAAAGAGAGGTCACATTACAAGGGGGCATAGATCTCTCTTCTGACCGCTTGTTACTTTACGGGAGTTACCATGGTCGTGACAAGGCCAACACTGGGGAATCCATATGCATGGCAAATCGGCGCATTTACCCCGGCAGCTAAAGTCAGGGGCGAATTCTAGTTAGCACGACTTTAAAGCTCGGTTCCGCGTAGAAAAAGGGGGAAGTTCGACGGACAGATCGGAGGCAACCATCAGGCGTCTGATCATGAAACCGAAAGACCCACTGCCACGGCTAGAAACGTCTGGAGTCGTTTATCGGATCTGGTGCAGTTGCGGATAAAGCAACTACGTCGGAGAAACCGGAAGACAGCTCCGAACGAGAATGGCCGAACACGCGGCAGCGGTGCGCAGAAATGACGCCAGCTCTCAAGTTGCGGCTCATTCGACGAGATCCGGCCACACATTTAAATTCGATGAGGCCGAAATTCTCGCAAGAGGTGACAACCGAGTGAGCCGGGATCTACTGGAATCATGGTTTACTGGCCCCCAGTCCATCAACGATCTTCCCATTCAGTACAGCGTGCTGAGACTTCGTCTAGGCAGAGTAATTGGCCACGCGGGGAGCGCACTGGTGAACACTCTTCCCAACACCCGGGTCAACGCGTCAGATGGTCGAGTATCATCACGCCAACACCCAACGCACGTGATGAAATTGCAGCAATTATCGACTCGGATGTCGGCCATCAAGCAATGATCACACCAAGTGTGACAATCCCGGATGAAGGGGGAAGCCGTGAACGTTCATAGGCAGGCGGTAGCATGGCTGCTGCATCCTATAAATACCGCAGCCCCTTGTGCAACAACCACCCGTTTCTGCTCTATTGCCTCTGATGATGGATTCGAGTAGGAATCCGAAACGTCAGGCTAATAAAGCTCTTGTCCCGGCGATCGTGTCTCCTTCTTCAAGACTACTTCCTTTCGGCTGCATGCAAAAACTACACTCTGTAAAAAATGACCGCTTAAGTAGCATGCATTTTCTCATTGATTTTCGATGCCTCTAAAGGTCTAATTATATTTCATGTAATACATGCATAAAAATATTCATTCTTCCGCTCATTTGGTAGAAAAGTACGCATTCTTTCAATGCAATACTCGAAGGAAGGGTATTATTTGGTTTTTAAAACTTTTCCAATTCCCGAATCATTTTGAACCCTCTCTGCCGTCACACTTGCATTCAGGGTTTCAAAACTACAAGTCATGTATTTTCCACGTATGAAAAACCACGCATTTCTCTACGGTATTAAGAGGAGATCATATTGGGTTCATAACATTTAGCATTGGATTTGATCCATAGTGTTAACTTTACAAGCCACATTGGTAAATGCAGAGGTATGGCGGTTTATGAATGGCCATTTCATGATGTTATAAAATCTCATAATTAGAAACTTTTTGAAAATCGAATTATATCCCTCCTTCGAGTATCAAATTGAACGAAGACGTTATTTTCCATCGAATGAACAAAAGAATGAATATTTTGTTGCATGTTTTCCATGAACTATAATTGGACTTTTAGGGACATCGGAAATCAATGAGAAAAATTTATGCTAATTAAGTAGTCGTTTTTTAGGGACTGTAGTTTTTGCATGCAGCCGGAAGGAAGTTCTTTCGAAAGCCGGCATCCTGAGGTAACTGAGTTATTATAGAATTATACTACAGACTGATTAGTTTTGCAACCCTACTTAATTAGTCTTTTCGAAAAGAAAACACATTTCGGGATTTCAGTTGACATTTCATGAGTTAGCCCAACGACTGTACAATGTTTTCTTAAACAGACTCCTGACTTTATCTTTTGCACGTCTTCTTCACTTATGTCAGTGTTTGATTTGGGCTGCCAGTGCTCTGGGCACCATCATTGTCACGGCCATGAACTACAGCAGCTGAAATCAGTCGTATGTGCTGGCCGGGAAGGATATTGATGTGCGTAATGGCGATTCTTGGCCGCAAGGTGGGGTGTAGGGGTGTTCAGTTGTGGTTCCACTAGATGGTCGTAGTAGGTCGCTCAATTGCTTGCAAGTATAGACTACTCCTAACGTTTATTAACTGGCACCCAATTCTCATATGTGCTCTGCTTAGCAGCCACACCCCGATAATCGCCTGGACCGGCGAGCTAAACCATGTGAGGGTATCTGTGTGTGCATCTCCACACACGGTAACTTGACTCCCCTCCCACCACCGTCGGCCTCTGCACCTCCGAGATGAGGCTCCGTCTGTAACCCCGCAGGAGTCCACAAGCACTCAGCAAGCTCCTGAGCGGCTCCTTTCTACTTCTTCTTACCCACTATTCGTCCTTCATCCCATCTTCTTTCTACTCTACATTACTCTCTTACCCCGCGGTCGAGAGTCCTACGGATAACCGCATCGCCACCTCCAAGACGAGGCTTTGTCTATGACCCCGTAGGAGTCCACAAGGTAAGTGGGCCTTTGATGTCTTGGTTTTGTTGGTCTTTGTTTTGCGCTAAGTACCGTTCTGTTGAATTTCTCTGCTCACCGTTTACACTCCAGCAACCAGTTAGCTCAGAGAGGGAAGGGAAACTCCGCTTCTCACCACTCTGCCTTTTCCTATCCTCTCCTCCCACAACTTCAAAAAGTCCTATGGAGAGGGCGACATGCATTCCCGTAGGCGGCCCAGATTAACTAAACGAAGTCGTGGCCCATAGTGGAGTCCGGCAATCGTTTGGGATGCTTGAGCAGCATATTTAGACACAGCACTGTTTGCCCCCGCAAGGGGGGCGGTGCTAGAAAAAGTGCTCTAAATTAATTCTGGGTTCACGTCCTCTGTGCGCAGACCGAGGCTCGCAGCTGCAAAACACACGGTCGAAACAACCAAAAATGAAACTATATCTTCCCTCTCTCTTCCCCCTCCCTCCTCCTCCTCCTCCCCTCCGCTCCACCCCACAGACTGTTAGAGAGACTCCGTTCAATGTGGTAGCCTGGAATGTTCGTCCCTTTTGGATAATCCGAGGAGCAACCAGTCGGAACGAATTACGGCGCTAGTCGATCGCGAACTGGCACACTACATGGTGGACATCGCTACATTCAATGAGACCCGTTTCCCTGAACAAGGCCATCTGGAGGATGTGGGTGCCGGCTACATCTTCTTCTGAAGCGGTCACCCCAAGGCAGAGCGACGGGACGCGGGAGTCGCATTTGCCATCCGAAACGACACCGTGGGACGACTGCCCTGTCTGCCGCATGGCATTAACGATCACCTGATGGGTCTCCGCCAGCCTCTCCGGCGAGGCCAATTCGCCATTATCTTCATCAGCGTCTACGCTTCCCTCGAAGACCATAACTGACGCGATAAGGAACGAATTTTACGGGGAACTGCACGCCCTCCTGTCGACTGTGCCAAGGGCGGATAAGTTGATTGTCCTTGATGACTTCAACGCCTGCGTTGGTACAGACCAATGTGTCTGGAGAGGAGTTCTGAGTCTCCGCGGTCTCGGCGGCCCCATTGACAATGACCTGCTGTTCCTACAAACCTGTGCAGAACACCGACTCATCCTGACGATCAACTTCTTCTGCCTGCCACCGTGATGCATCCTCGGTCGCGACACTGGCACCTGCTGGACCATGTCCTCGTCCGGAAGCGAGACCAGCAGGAAGTGCCGGTGACAAAGGCGATCCCGAGTGCCGACGGGTAGACTGACCACCGCCTCATCATTTCCAAGATGAGGATCCGCCTACAGCCACCCAGGAGACCTCGAAATAAGCGACCTCCAGTTAAGGTGAATATTGTTTTGCTGTCTTTGCCTGTTCGCTATCTCCATTTCATCAACAAGCTGGCTCAACGACCATCCAACTTTCCAACTACCGTCGCCGTCGAGGACGCCTCCGTGAAGAACTTTCGGTGTCAATTAAGAGACACGGTCCGGTTAACCGCCCTGGCTGTCCTAGGCCGCGCATGCCGCCAATACCAGGACGGGTTCAGTGACAACGGCACCGCCATCAACAACCTATTCGCCGAGGAGAACAGTCCTCACAATGACTGCGTCAACCGCCCATCCGCCGACAACAAAGCAGCATTCTATCGTAGTCGCCGCCCTGTGCAACAGCGGCTGCGGGAGATGTAGGAGGTCTGGGCAGCTCGCAAAGCCGAGGAGATTCTAGATTACGCGGACCGCAACGAATGGAAGAACTCCTTCGTCGCGACCAAAGTTGCCTACGGTCCCACAGTCAAGAAAACCGCTTGGATTCTCAGCGCCGTCGGAATTACCCTTCTCACTGAGAAGACGCAAGTTCTGCAGCGATGGACCGATCACTTCCGAGGAGTCTTCAATCGTCCCGCCACCATCTCCGACGCCGTCTTCGCTCATCTACCTCAAGTGGAGACCAACGTCAACTTCGGCCACCCTCCCTCCACGAAACCGTGAGGGCCGTACAGCAGCTCTCCAACGGGAAAGCGCCCGGATCGGACGCAATCCCTGTTAAAATCTACAAGCACGGTGACCACCGACTTACGGATCATCTGATGAATCCGTCCCAGGAGATGTGGCGTAAGGGAGAAGTCCCCAGGACTTCTAGGGAACTGTAATAGTTTACCTCTACAGGCGGAAAGAGAACCATCAACTCTGCGATAACCACAGAGGTATCTCTTTCCTCAACATCGCTGGAAAATCTTCGCTCGCATCCTCCTCAACCGTCTCAACAACCATTTGGAAGAGGGTCTCCTGCCGGTAAGTCAGTACGGCTTCCGCTGTCATCGCGGGACAACCGGCATGGTATTCGCTGCCTGCCAACTGCAGGAGAAGTGTCAGGAGATGCGGACCCACCTGTAATCTATCTTCGTGGATCTGACAAGAGCCTTCGACACGGTGAATCGCAAAGGACTGTGGAAAATCATCCAAAAATTTTGCCGTCCGGGGCGATTCACTCATATGGTGTGTCAACCCCACGATGACATGATGGCGCGCGTCACGGACATTGCCGACGACTGCGCCCTCAACGCCACCTCCCAAGCTGACGTGCAAAGGAACATGGACCTCATCGCCGCCACCTGCGACAACTCTAGCCTGATCATCAACACGCAAAAGACAGTGGTTATACACCGCCCGCCATCCAACGATGCCCTACATCCGGACAACTGAGGAGATCTTGCCCGTGACCGACCTACCTGGCGGAGGGCAGTGAAGGCAGTCGCAGCAGTCTCGAAGCTAACCGCATCACCGCCGCCAGTGCCAAACGGGAAGCTCAAAAATCTCAATTGCCCCCACCTCGCAACTTCAACACTCGACCCTCCCCTCCCAACCTGTCCACGATGTCAACGGACGTTCCGAGCACCAATCAGTCTTAGCGCGGCTAGGTCGACGTGCACGCTCTAAACCTCCTCAGTTCCACCGGTCACCGACGCTTATCAGAATTCCACTCTGGCCCCCACCATTTCGAACCCTCACCCCAATCGTTGACTATTGCGTTTCTTGAGGTCATCTCTTCATCTCGACCCCAAGCGGTCTGTGGACGCTCCTGGCGGAACTCTCTGTATCCGCCATCTGCCAGTAGTTTGGTCGCATCCCCCTTGTCCCCCTCCTTGGCTGGATTCGAAGCGGGCTGTGGCCGATCGCGTCTGCGTTCCTCTCGTCTCTCTACTTTGACGTGAATGGCCTCACCCGGCATATAAATTCTGCCTTGATGATGTCCGTTTCGACCCTCATACTCAATACCGCATGCAGGCCAGTCCTGTCTGACCTGCATACTTGCCCCTTCGTGAAGTCCGTTATACACTGCCACGTGCAGGCCGGTCCTGCCCACTTTTTATCCTTTCATAGGCGACAGTTTTGTTCTCCTTTAAGGTTAATCCAGTCACGTTCGTTTTGTTTATTTAATGGGAGTTTTTTTTCGCTGCTCGCTCATTCAACATATATGAATTAAGTATTGTATGCATTCTGTCTGCCTGTTCTAAAATAAGTGTAAAAAATCATCCTTACTTGCTATGACTGGACACCTACGGTCTTGAATAAAACGTATTTATTTATTTATATATTGGACATCTACGAACCATCAGCAGCAGCTGAAAGACACTACTCGTTGTACCCCTGCCCACCTATGCCTCGCACCCCATACCGACAATCTACGCTGACCGCACTCCTGAATCCCTACTGCCATCCTCCATCCCCCTTTTTTATCCTATTTTATACTCATCGCTACCTTTTTCGTTCTCCTCCCTCCTTTTTCCGAGCGTGGAATATATCTATCCCTTAATCAACGACTTGTGACCCGTACCCTGCTTGTGTGAAGCCTGTTACTGGAATTATGAGCGTCGTCTCGGAAGATCCTAACTCTGTGACAGACGGCGGACCGTTTTTAGGAACAACTCCCGGTCCAGCGACAACAATAACCGCGCAGCCGTCCGGATCAACTAAGGGTAAGTGTACCTCTGTTACAACAGTATTTTCCAGTTAGGTAAATTTGTGTGTTTTCTAGTTGATGATTTTCAGTCTATCTGGCCAGCTGTAATGGGCGGTCGCACATTTCCTTCGTGTTTTTCAGAAGGCTTGTCATAGTTGTTTGGATTAAGAGCTGGGAAAGAGACATATATATCAGGAGTAAGAAACATTCAATTGTAAGTCACAATCAAAGCTGTCAAAATAATATTTAATCATGCATCAAATTGTTCTTGTGAATGTGACATTATAAAAGTAGTTGTCCGCTGTTTACTATGCTCTGATATAGTTGTATATACGTTTAGTATGACTTTAATAAAGACTTACGTACAACTAATATGCAGGGTTTTATCGAGAGGGATGTTATTATTGGCTCCTTAAGGGATATTTAATGCCAGGTGACATAACTGATAGAAAGGATAAAGGGAGGAAAGAAAGAATATCACTATCTGTTCTATGTTTATCAATGATGCTATCTTTCATAAATTTGATTGTTTTTAGTGCTATGGTCCGGTATTATTCAAGCGGTTGGCATCATCAGAGCCCTTTCAGACCAAAATCTGTATCAGAGAATTGACTTCAAAAATGTCGTATCTTGATCCAAAATAAATGCGTATTGCTTTTTGAAAGGAATTTCTTAGTTTTTATTTTAAACTCGATCAGGGTTCGAATTTTCCGGATAGAACTTGGGAGAGCATGCCAGAGAGTGGCATATCTTATGGTGTAGAAATTCGACCGTTGGGACTGTGAACTTGGGGATCCTTATAATATCTTCGTTATTTCTGATGTTTCTGGGGGCGTTTTGGTATGTTAGTAAATACATTTTGAGAATATCTCGGTCATGGGTGACCTTGACTAAGAAGTTTAGACCATTTTGGAGTCTTCTGGTCCAGAGGGTTCGAACACCGTATTTATGATATAGTTCTATGTATGAACCCTGGGTGTCAACACTTCTAAACAAACATCTAGTAAAACGTCTCTGAATGCCTTCTAGTTTCTTTCGGCCGTCTGGGGGCATTATACCGAAGAAAATGGAGCAATAATCTAGGAGAGGTAAAACGTAAATTTTGAAAAGCTGCATTCTTAGCGCATTTATGGTGAAATTTTTACATATGAATCCACACAGGCGAGTGGCTTTCGGTGATATTTGTTAGACGTGGAAAGATAAATAAAGGGTAATTGTATAGCTGAGACCTAAATCTTTTACCGATTGGACCTCCGTTATTTTATTATCCTCGAATATTATGGGGGAAGTTTTTGTGGACCAAAGATCAGGAGATGGCATTTTTGGGGTGAAAGGGGAATCTGCCATTTGATGAAAAAATGCACAGTATTGCGGTCATTGTAAGAACACAGAACGCTTATTTCGTTCTTTTTTTAGTCTTCACTGTCGAGCAAAGGTAATGTTGCAGAACTCCAGCTAGTTCCGAAATCGATTCGCGATGCACCTTTTACGTTATCCCCTGAGAGCATATGGTCGATTTCTACAAATAATTAAGGAAATTGCAGAACGTTATGAAAGGCATGAGACAAAGTATTTACTCAGGCCAAGTGTATGAAGTAAATATCGAAAGGCTTCAGCTGTTAGTATATATGGAAAATCCCAGAAAGTTGAAGGCCGAGAAGCAGCCAGAATGAGATTGGATCTTTCAATGGAAGTTCTGTTGCAAACCCACGGGGAAAAACGATTACTAAGGCGAACCAAATTCTCCACGCCAACAGGAAAAAATAACCTCCAGAAAACCGAAATCTAGATGAGAGTATAGTTCTAAGAAGTCAAAAAATACAGATCACCTTGAGACTATCGACCACTCCGCTTCCGACCATCCAGTATTTGACCGGGGCAGTTCTAGAAACTATAACTTTCACTCTGTGGATGTGACTGTTGCGATTCGGCGTTTTCGTCAATCCTATAGTCCAGGCCCTGATGGTGTCCCAGTAAGCATTTTAAAAGCCGATGCAAACACGATCTTCCCATCCCTCTTATGCAAGATATTTAATCTTGCTCTTGAAAGTGAAACTTATCCTACCTTCTGAAAGGAATCACACATTTTGCCTATTCCTAAGCACGGCAAATATACATCATTTGATGACTTTCGGCCAATAAACACCCTGCTCGCAGTTTCGAAGATCTTAGAGACATTGATCAAAGAGAAGATGATGTGTCACTTAACCGTGAATAATTTACTGAGTGCTGCTCAGCATGGATTTCTCAAAGCTCGATCTTGTGACACCTGTCAACTCTCTTTCTTTGACTATGTTCTCCAATCTAGGGACAATGGTTTTGCACTTTACACAGTATATATAGATTTCATTAAGGCTTTTGACCGTGTTGAACATGCTCTTCTCCTCTTGAAATTGTCCTCTTTCGGAATAGGTGGCAAACTTTTGAATTTTATATCCTCTTATTTGGGCACTCGCACACAACGAGTTAAGATTTCCAATACCATCTCCAACCCCACACGTGTGAGGAGTGGAGTCATCCAGGGTACTGTACTCGGCCCGATTTATTTTGCCTTTTCGTCAATGATGTACCCGATTTATTTCAGAATGGTAAGCCTTTCATGTATGCCGATGATCTTAAAGTTGCATATCGATATAAGCCGGCAGATCATGACATCGTGCTTGAGCTCCTAAAGAGCGATCTACAGGCTTTCGCCCAGTGGTGCCGCACATGGCGCCTTTCTCTTTCTTGGCATAAGTGCTCAGTCATGGTGGTTGGCGACGACCGCCAACCTCAACTAAATATTGAAGGTCACGCCATAAATGTGCCAGGGGTAATAAAGGATTTGGGCGTATCATACTCCAAGAGTCTCAATCTCTCGGAGAACTGTGCCTTGATAGTCTCCAAAGCACGTAGAACGACCGGTTTATCCTCCGAAACTTTAAAACTAGGGACATTAGAATGCGCCTTTACAACATGTACGTTAGACCTGGTCTGGAATACGGTTCGTTTTTATTTAACCTCATGCGTACTACTGAGCGGAAGAAAATAGAATCCGTTCAACACTTTTTTTACCAAGAGGGTTTTAACCCCGGAACACCGACATTTGTCTTACCGAGAACGTTGCCGGCTTACGGGCCTCGATCCATTATGGGTCCGTAGATTACAAAAGGGGCTATTTTCGCTATTTAAACTTTTATATAATCACACACTTAATCCACTCACTTCTTTAAGATATCATATCCACCCACGACGTAACAGTCACCTTGAGGTCTTTTTATTTCTTCTTCTGGCACGTACTGTTAAATATCGTCGGTTCTATTCTGTAAATGCAATTGCTATTTGGAATAAACTACCAATGAGTGTGAAAACTCTGCAAAATTATTCTTTATTTAAGAGAGCTATTTCTCGATTTTTGCATTCAGAGAAGCTTCCACAAATTTTGGGTGCTGAATCCACTGATCAACTCTACCTTAGCGATGGCGTTTGTGGTCTCTGAGCACTATGGCCTGTCTCAACATGGACAATTTCGTTGGCCAACAGCGACAGCTGTTCCTCAACGCCCCTACTCTGACTATCCCCAACTTCATGAAAGTAAATGACGTCGGATAATCTCCGATACC